TCTTTAGTTTGGGGGACTCGAGGATAATTTGCATTTCCTGGGAAAGGTGTCTGTTGCTGATTGCTGCGATGTGGGGATCAGGGCTGTCAGAGGCCGACGGAAGGCCTCAGAAAAACACACTAAAATAGAGGTATTCATCTTAGGGAGGCTGCGGAATACTCAGAGGGTGAGCATCCTGATCCTCTGAGAAAAGGGGAGGCCATGCTGGGAAACAAGGGCTGCCCCTGGCCAGGTCGCAGGAAGCCCTAGTTCAGGTTTCAGTGAGCGAGTGCCTCCTCGGTGAACTCTCGCGCATTCCCCAGGCTTTCCGCTAGGGGGCAGACAGAGGCTGGAGAACACCCCAGGCAGGAGGCCAGTCCCTCACCAACACAACCAGCCTCTCATCAACACACTAGGCCGGCTGTGCTCTGCACAAGGCAAGGCTCGGCCTCTCTTCCGGCCAGCCAGGCACAGCCTCAGCGATATTGCATGGTTTGCCTGTGACATCAGACACGACACAGATATGATAACCCAACTGTACAGTTTGGGGTGAACGTTGAACAACAGAAAAAAGGAAGAAAAACAAAGAGGAAAGTCAGATCCTTGTTTTTTTTTTTTTTTTTTGTTTTGTTTTTTGTTTTGTTTTGTTTTTGTTTTCTTACCACGTGTAGCTTGGGGATCCACGCCTCCTGCGTCCTTCATTATTCTGAGCAAGCCTGATGTATCTGCATTCAGAGACTTCTCATTTGACAAGGCAACCGCAACCGGGAAGCTGCATTTGGCCTGCTTCTTACCCATCTATTCTGGAAAAACAGAATGCGTTTTCCATACAAGTTGCCGTTTTCCCTTCCGAGACCCCGTTTTATAGGCCTCTGTGTAGCAACACATAATTCCAAGGGAAAATTATTTTTTAATAATTCCCACATGCCTTAGGAAGTCATTTCCTCCTAAGACATCCTAGGCAATCGGGCCCCTTAATTGGCTTAATTTTTATTCTTAATCCTCAAGGGTCAAGGAAAAACAACACACCCCTTCCTGTTGCTATTATCCCCTCGTAAATTATTGGGCTCACAGCCTTAGCTCTAACACAAACTGCGCTGAGCCTAAAGGAAGAAACGTATCTTGCCAGGCCAGATCAGGGAAACAGAGATCACTGGAGAATTGAGTCCCTCCTAGGAAACCGGAGGATCTGAGAGAGGCCCTCCTGCTTGCTGATGTTGGCGGAGAAGTCTTTATTCCATGCCTGCTAACATTACTAGAAATATCTGTCAAAACAGTAAGTTTTGTGACTTTTAATGAATTGCATCTTCAGTTGCGTGGAGAAAAAGTAAGCAAATTACACACACGTCAACTGGGAAACTGGGGAAGGAGCGGACTACCACTAAAACAAGGGTTTCATATCCCCTACCCCATTCTGACAGAAATAGTCTATAAACACAGAGGCTGACATCAAGCCCTTTAATGGCTTGCAGAATGCTCTTAGGAATTATCTAAAAATATGCAGTTTTTAAATTATATCATAGATTGACTCATCTAAAGCCATTTGGCTTTCAATTTAAAAAAATAAAACTAAACAGGCCTGGACATATGTGGACACCAGTGTGGCTGGGGTTTCTGGTTCCTTTGTTTAAAGGTGTTTTCTAACCGCGACAAGATGTGTGGAGGAGGCCTTCGTCTGACTGGGTATTCAGGTTTACAAAGAAAGTAATTACAGGCCAGAGAGAGGGCTCACCCCCTTCGTCTAAATTCCCTTCCACATATCAACAGAGTTTGACCTTGATTTTTTTAGATGTAAGTAAAGGACACTGAAGTAATTCAAAGAAACCAATATTTCAGACACAGCAAGGAAACTGGAATCAGAGATGACAGGCACAGGGGACGGAAGCCCGAGGGGCAACCAACTCTCCCAGTCCTCACACGGGGTGCCTCTTCCTTTCTTATTGAGCTAAGATATTTTTGTCTTCTTTCCAGGGAACATTTGCTTGCCCAGTCCTCTGGAAAATACCCAAATACTGGCTTCCCCTTTCCCCTCCCTCTCCTTCATTCCCTCCTTCTCCTTCCCTTCCTCCCTCTAAGCCTTCTGGTCTTTTTATGTTTTTAAGTTTTCCCACTAACACTTGCCCCACGACAGCCTCTGGGGTCAGTAAGTGACCTCCAACCTTCCTCGCCTTTCTCAGAGGGCAGAGGCCTCCCTTCTGCCCCTGACAAAGCACTTCCAGTCAACCCTTGGGTTTCTTCATGGTTGATTAAACTGTCTGTGTTTATTCAGGACCCTTCTCCTCTTTCTGTGTCCGGCTGCTGACCTTTCCGTTGCTTCCTTGTCAGAGGAGAAAGCTCACAGGGGCAGTCAGCCCAAATGCTTGTTAGCAGCAGCTCTGGCAAAGAGCAAGGCCACTGAATTATTAGCACGTCTTCAGAGCCATGAGCTTTTCACCTGAGCAGCTCTTAGAACTGCCACTACTGGAAGAAGCCAGAGGCACATGAAGGGAGAAAGCAAAAGTTTGTGTGTGAGTTAGGTCTGCTGTGTCCTTCTGGGACCACATTGATGGCTGCTCCTCTCGTCGCTCAAGTCCTTGCGGCTTCAGGAAGTGTGAGGTTCTGAACAAGGGTGGGGAGGCTTTCGCTGCCTGGGACCAGGCAGGAAAAAGAAAACGAAGTACAGAGAGTTCTGCTGAGTAGCAGGAGACAAGCCAGGAAGGACGAGCCAGGACTCCCTGCCTGCCCCAGTCCCCCCTCCTACCCACCCACAGAGTCTTGTCAGCAGGATGGCTTGACCCCTCTGGTTACCCTGCCCTGGGCTCTGGGGCAAGCTCAGACCCCAGCAGGGCCCTGGGCTGGCTAAAGCCCAACCAACCTTCGTGTGGCTCTGTTGCTTGTAGACAAGCTCTCTTTTTCTAAACATCGTGACCCGCACCTGCTGTACGTCTCCGAGAAGCATCGTGTATTCCATTTCTTTGTGTATAAATTTCATCACCCGGGCCTGGCTGCCTGTGCTGGGAGAGTAGGGAATGTGCCGTCCTTATCTCTCCTATGCCTAGAAGCGTGAGCTGCATATCTTAGTGGGGGTGAGTGGATAATGGAGGTGCTCTCCCAGCCTGTCTCTGCATTCCTTTATTGCCACCTGCTCCCCTGGGATAACTTTATCCCCCCTCCCCCGTTCCTCACAACGCTCGACTCCTGGCATGCACAGGGTGTGGCTTCATTTTTTTCTTATTTTATTTATGCGTCTGTATCAACCTTTCCGGCTCTGCCTGGTCATCGCTGCCCATCTCAGATGGTCAGCTCAGGGGACTAGGTTCTACTTAACACCTTTGGGTACTGGAAATTGGCACCGAGGGGCTAGATACCTAGTGACTCCGGACCAGTCAAAGGGAATCACTAGGGCTGATTTATTATTATTAATTATTATTATTATATTATATTCTTAATAATAATGACTTCAGACTGGCCTCAAGCTTAACTATGTAAGCCCAGCATTGTCTTGGACCCTTGACACCCCCGCTTCTGTCTCCGCCATGCTGGGACGACAGACATGGACTGCCGACCATTCCTGACTGATAGCTAAGTTTGGAGGTCCTTCATGCAGATTTTCAAGCCACTTTTGCTCTGTTCCGGTCACTTTCCTATAGCTTAGCTCCCGCTGGGCCTGGGAGAGGAGAAGGCTTGCTCTTAACAGCAGCTCTCCGACATTTGGAGTCCGCTCTGCCTCCTTACCGCACTCCTTATCTCGACCTTCTAAATTCCAGTAGCAGCCCCCACCCGCGGCAGCTGAGACCCGCTCTAGCCAAAGGTCTCCGAGGTCGAGGTGGGGACGGAGTGGCGGCATCCAGGAATACAGTTGAAAGCCACAGACGTGGAGTGAAGAGGGTGGCGCTCAGAACCAGAGGGCTTGCTTCTCTAGGCTTTCTTTTTTAGACTCTTGGTTTGTGTGTGGAGGTTAGAGGACTACTTGAGGCAGTCGGTTTTCTTCTTCCCCCACTGGGCTCTAGGAACTGAACTCAGGTGGCAGCAAGCACCCCTCCCCACTGAGCCATCTCCCAGGCTCTTGTGTTTTATTTTTTGTTTGGTTTGCTTGGTTTCCGAGACAGAGTTTCTTTGTGTAGCCCTAGCTGTGCTGGAATGCACCTTTTAGACCAGGCTGGCCTTGAACTCAGAGATCTGCCCAAGTCCTGGGGTTAAAGGCATTTTTGCTTTTTTAGTGTACTCAATATGGTTTAATGTACTCTGCTCTAGCCAGTTTGGGGAGAAACCACCTCTAATTGTTCTTAAATTATATGGTATCTGAGCGCTCTGCTTTAATTTTGCTTCAGGGGTCATTTTTAGGCTGTTGCCCCTGGGCTGTCCCCTTCTCTCGAGGTCTTGTCCTCATCTTGATTCAGGAACCCTGTGACTTTCTGAAAACTCTACCGGGAACTGGATGAACCATGAGGGGTGGTAGGGTGGTGGTGGTAGTGACGGGGATAGGGAGTGGACAAGACTGCCACCAGCCCGGTGACTCCTGTGTGCTAAGGACAATATTTGGGACTCCACCATCCACTCTCTTGACCTAGGACCTAGATATCGCCCCCCCCCTTCCCTGAGGAGTCCTAAACATTTGGGAACAATAATCACGTGAACTGAACTCACACAACACCTGGCTGCAAACCAGATGTGACAGTATTGATTCTCCCCAGAGCTCTCACTGGGCTCAGGGAGGTGACCTGGAATGTCGTTCAGAGTCCACACAGGGCCCCCGGGCCAGCAGGCTCCAGGTTCTGGCTAGTGTCTGACCTTTTCTGCCTATCTCAGCTGCCACGGGGATGACCCTGCGGCCTGGGCTGGGTCTGGCTGGGGGTGCGGAGAGGGAGCTGGAGATTCTGATTCCTGGAGGCTTGCTGGTCTTCAGAAATCATTTCTGTTGCTGCTTCCATAGAATGCCAGCGTCAGGAGACAGAACGCCCTTGTCCCCTCCCTAGCCGGCACCTTCCATTCTCAGGAAGACAAGGGTCTGTCATGCCCAGGCAGAGGTAGAATCAGGACAGAGGGAGTGGTGTAGTCTCTGGAGATAGTCTATCCAGACTTTGAAACCCCTGATGAAATCGCATGTCCCCTGAGGTGGGAGTGTCTCCCTGACTGACCAGACCATTGACTTTTGAGCTCCCTGGCCCCTCTCTCTGTGGATACCTCTCCTGTGTCCTTCTTACTTAGTATAGCTTCTAGCCTGCTAACTCCACTGGTTTCTCCATGGCAGAGCTGAGCTCCTCACTGCCCCTGAACGGTGACCACGGGCCTGGAGTCCTCCGGGGGCCACCCCTTCTTTAGAGCGAATTTTCTTTGGTCGCAGCTGCAGCTGACAGATTCCTCTGCGGAGAGCAACCGCCTTTGGAAAACTGGGAGTTCTCCTAATAGAGATGAAAAGAAGGTGTGTTATGAACCCACATTGGCAGCTAATGAGTGGGTTTCCACTGTGTGACTAAGGTACCCGGTGTCATTTGTGACTCCCGCCCATCCTTTGGGTCATCTCCGAGGATTTCTCTGCTGGGCCAGCAGCTGATATTCAGGATGAGCAAATGCCTTGGCTCACCCTGCTTTTGTGTCACGATTCAAGCGACAATGAGCTAACCATGCTGAGTGTCCTTTTTACCGCTTGAGTTGTTCCTTCTCCCGTTGCTGGGTCTTTGTCAGAGAGTCCTTTGTCGCTTTCGAAAGTGTGATTTCGTAGGAAATAAAAGAACAGCGCGACCATAGTTAGTGCTGCTGGTAAGTTCTATTGCTTGGGGCGCATTTGCTGTAATAGAAAAATATGAATCTGATCAGTGTGTTAGGAAGCCTCCTACGACCAGGACCATCTTCTTTGTCCCCAAACACCATGCGACCTACACTTCAAAAACTTGCCCTTCAGAAGCCACTGTGTGGGGAAAACAAGATGAACTGTGCTTGTGTGGAATTGAGTTCTTTTAAAAGAGAAAGAGAAGACATGAGAGGTGGTGTGTGGGAGGGGAAGAAGCGGGGAGAGAGAGGGCCTGGTCTGCTTCTCCAGCCATAGACACCTAGATTTTGCTCTCTGACTTTAATCCCCAGGGCTCTCTGTTCAGCCTCAAGGCAACACTCCCCACACTTGCTTAGGTTACAACGCGCTGCTCCGGGAGCCTTCTAGGCTAGCTGCTTTGCACCTGGAGGGAACAGACATGCTCAAAGGCATGAGAAGATGAGGGTCAGGACTCGGCGTTTGTGGTCGGAGCCTTGAGAATCAGTGTGGAGTAGCTGTCTGGACTCTTTACTCACAGGCTTTGGAGAAATGTTTTGAAATTAGAGCGATGTTTGGATTGCATGAATCTTAAAAATAGCACGGAAATCGTCATACTCACACCAAATGCTATAAATAATTCCCTCAGATCCTTAGCCGGGTCGTGTTCTGGACTGAATCATGTCCTCCTGAAATTGCTGAGTGTCACCCCCCTCCCCACACTTCACAGCATGAGCTTATGTGGGGACGGGGGCCCTTGCAGAGACAATTGGGCTTAGATAACTGATTTGTGGGATGAGGGGGGGAGGCTAATCTAATGTGACTGGTGTCTTTATACAAATGGGAATTAGGGGTAGACACGGACACAGGGAGAACATGTGGGCAGGCCAGAGGCACAGGCTAGCCTAATGCTTCTGTAAGCCAAAGGGTATGAAGGTTCTAGACAAACCAACGGAATTCGGTTCAGAAGCCTGGAGCAGATCCTGCTCTCAGGGCCCTCTGCCTCACTGAAACGGAGAAACTGGATCTCTGGTCTCCAGGACTCAGACATGGGAAACTGCCATTGCTTCATGCTGCCCAGTTGTGACTCCCCCGTTTCTCTTCTGGGGGCGCTGTTCTGTTGGTATTTTGAGAAACCCTGACTTTTGAAGATGCTTGATTAGAGTTTGATTGTAGGCAGATTTTTCCTGTCCCACCAGTCAGCTTCCAAATAACCATATGGAGACTTCTTATTAATTATGAAAGCTCAGCCAACAGCTTTGACTTGTTTCTAACCAACTCTTATACTTTAAATTAACCCACATTTTTATTACTCTACGCTCTACCATGTGGCTTTTACCTCTATATCATTTTGTGTATCCAACTTGTTCCATGTCTGACTGGTGACTCTCTGTGTCTCCATCCTTCTTCTTCCCAGTGTCCTCTCTCCTGAAAATCCTGCCTAGCTATTGGCTGTTCAGCTTTTTATTAAAACCCATCTGAGTGACAGATCTTCACAGTGTACAAAAAGATTATTCCACAACATCTGTCTGACCCAGGTTTGGTTCTGATCAGGCCAAATCCCTTCAAAAGTCCTTGGACACGGATGTAGATGTTCCAAGGTGAGGATGAACAAAAGGCTCCATACCAAGAATGGGACCTGGTGACTTGATAGGTTCTCAAAGGCTACTACATCTTCCCTTCTGGAGGATGCTTTCTCTAAGAGATAAGCTTCCTAGGTCAGGGAGAGGTAATATGATTTGTGCCAGTCATGAAAGGGCGGGTATAAAGCTGGGTATCAATCCAGGTCACCTGACTCCACACCTCCAATGTGTTCCCTTCACATCTCTATGCCAACAGATTCTCTGTTGTTTCCCATGAGCGAGCATGAAGGAAATGTGGCAGGTGAGCCTGAAGGCCCCACGCTCTTTGTAATATCTGCTAAGAAGGCCTTGCTGTTCGAGGCCGTCTTGCACAACCCACAAAGGTTTCTTCACAAAAGAAACACCTTTTCTTTTTTCTTAATCTAACTTCCTGGGAAGCAACTGACTTCACATGTTCTTGGTATGCAATGGTTCACATGAGGCAATTTATTGGCTCACAGACTTCTCTCTCATTAAGAATGGTTTTGCAATGCTCCCTACAGGAAGTACAGGGCCTTCTAAGAAAGGACTGAGGAGAATCAGAGGGTTATCGGGTAGAGCGGGGGTTGGGAAGGTTGCAAGAGGCCCGTCCGGGAGGAAGTCAAGCTGTGATCAGGGTAACAAGGCATCAGTGATAAAGGACTTTAGTGTTAGCTGGGGATGACTGATTCTACAGCCTGGAGAGACAGCTGTTTTAGAAGTAGTTTGCAGGTTTAGGAATGCTGCTTCAATTTTGACTCGGTAACAGAAGAGATCAAGGACTGGAGTGGGATCTACAGGGATCTTCCCCAGCTGGCAAGGCCAGACACTGTGTGGAGGAAGCTGTAGCCCTTCCTTTAGCACACGCCACATGCCAACCTCCACCTCTCTACAAATGTGGCAAGCATGTTATTCATGACCCCCCTACTTCAACCCACTCTAGAGCCCCTGAGCCCTGGGTTAAGGGAGTGCTAAGGTCTAACTTAAAGGTCATTTATAAATTCGCCTATTTAACGACATGAACTGACACAGGAACTAGTGTGGGCTAGAGAGAATCATTGACACCATGGTACTGGCAGGAGAAACTCAAGTAGAGGTTTATCAAACGGAAGGAGCACCCCGAGTGCAGAGGCGCCAGCTGGATGTTAGGGTCTGTCTTGTCCGTCACGGGCCCCACGGAGTGTCTGAACTTCTCTCAGCTTCCGTTTCCTCATGAATACCAGTGGGAATCACAGTTCCCACCCACAGCAACCTGGGGAGCTATGGATGGTTTCACATTCAGGGACTCAAATCTCTACGCCAACTGCTGCATGAAAGGGAGGCGGCATTAATAGGAACACGGAGCAATAGCGACACATCTATCTAAGCATCTGTAACATTACTATGTTCTAATAAAACAGTGTCTTTTCTGGGAAAGCAAACAACAAAAGCCTGGGTCCTGTATTAGTTTTCCTATTGAGAGGGAGAGCACACCCTAGAAGAAGCTCAGAAAGACTCAGTTTTGAGGGCTCAGCAAGGTTTGTTGTTCTTTAAATCAGCCGCCAACAGTTATCGGGGCAAATGGTCTCTGTCTTAGGACAGTTGGAACCTCCTTTGATGACTGACTTAACAATGTGTCAAAATGATAAGGAATTTGAAAGTTCGATCTTTTCCTAGACCCAGTATGATCTTTGCTCTTTTCTCAGACACTGAGACTACCAGCTCCCTGTCGGTTATGGACTCCTCACAGTGAAAAACTCATGCCCTACAGTGGGCAGTGACGGATGGACAGCCAAATGTGACCTCTGTTGGCTAGGGAGTGTGGGGGTATATAATGGGTGAGGAAGTTTGGGGATATATAATGGGCTGGGAGTTTGGGGTGTATATAATGGGCTGGGAGTTTGGGGGGTATATAATGGGCTTAAGTTAAGGGGATGCATTGGCAGCTAATTTAAAAGAATGCACAAATGTCTCCTTATTTTAGCAAAGCCATACACTGAGAGTTGTGTATTTGCCTCAAGTGTAAGCCCACAATAAACTTCCTTCCTGAAGTCCATGACCAGGAGCCTGAAAATCTTCAGAGAGGCCTGGGCTTTAGAGTGGAAGGAGGAAGCTGCCAGCCACTGCCATGCCCCTCTGTAGGGTCATTTCCAAGAATCTCACGAGCAATCCCCAGAAGCCACACTCAAGCGTGATCCTTCAGCTTGTTTCCCCTTGCCAACTATTCTGCTGAAACTTGCCTTATAGGAAGCTGCCTTTCTTCTGAGCAGACAGGGCCCGTCCCTAGCCTGAGTATGCATGAGCAAACGGTTGCTGGCGGCTGTAAAGGATCTCGTAAAGCATTTATGGTAACCCACAAAAATGAGCTGGCATTTTGCACGGCTGTCTTTTCCATTCATTTGTTGCAGGTAAAGGGCTGCCAGAGTCACTTCATGATGCCAGGGCGCGGGCTTGCTTTGGGAAACGGGACAGCCAAGGCCTTGGGATCTCCAGATTCTGCTTTCTCCATCTCAGAATCCAGTGAAATGAAACCTGAGCCACACACACACCAGGTGGGTGTGTATGAAGGCGGGCCCATGCTCACTGCTGTTATAAGTCAGGGTGGTCCCAAGGAAGAAAGTCAGGCTGTGTCCTGAGTGTTCTTGGTGACAGAGTGGGTCAAATGATAGGCACACAAGGGTGTGGGCATGAAAGAGGGATTGTAGAAAGGCTGCTTGCTTGTTGCTGGCTGCTCAGCCCCGAAATAACCACACAGAAACTGTATTATTTGCAATAGTGTTTGGCCAGTAGCGTTAGCATATTTCTGGCTAACTCTTATATCCTAGATTAACCCATCTTCATTAATCTGTGTATCACCATGAGGCTGTGGGTTACCAGCAAAGCTTTTGCATGTCTGTCTCTGGCAGCGGCTCCAAGGCTTCTTGTTGACTCCACATTTTTTCTCCCAGCATTCAGTTTAGTTTTCCTCACCTACCTAAGTTCTGTCTTGCACAGGCCTAAGACAATTTCTTTATTAACCAATGGTATTCACAGCATACAGAGGGGGATCTCACATCACCTCCCCTTTTCTGTTTAAATAAAAAGGAAGGTTTTAACTTTAACATAGCAAGATTACATACAAAACCAGGTATCAAGAATTACAGGTACAATATTTATATCTACTTTACTTTTTATTATAACTAAGGAAAATTGTAACTATAACCATATATTGTTCAACTCCATCAAAGACTCCAGAAGGATATAATATTACCTAAGTAAACAGGAAGTACTTTGTAAGCAACTTCCAAAACTCTAGAATTGACCGAGACATTTTGTTGCATGGACAGTCACCCAAAGTTCTTTTGTAATGTTGCAGGCACCCATCTTCAGCCTATTGGCTCATAGTATCCAGCAGACTTTTCCATGAAGCAGAAAATTTCAAAGACAGTTCTGCCTATATTAGCAGTTTGTCAGTCACTTTCTTCTGTATCATGCATAATGTCTGGCAGATTCTTTCATGAAGCAGGAACCCCAAAGGACCGTCTCACCTTTAGGCAAGTTCAGCCGTCATTTCTCTGTGGGTCCTGCAAGTCCAGTTCATCAAGCAGTCCAGGCAAGAGCAGTTTCTTGCCCAAATGACTATCCATCTCCATAAGGAGCCTCTTTGATGCCCATCATCCTCTTGAAGTAAATTGGTGCTGGCAGGAGCAGATGAGTCTCATATCATGAAAAGTCCTAAGTTATTAAAATATTTTAAATGCCATATTCTGAAGGTCTCTGAAAGATTTGAAGAATATCTATCTAACTGAAATATATCTCTATATATCTAGGAAACCTAACATGACTAGAAGCTTGACTATTATAGATGACTATCTATTAACCTATATTTCTTAATTATACATTACATTTTAAAATGAACTGCACAATCATATACCTTAATAAGGAGCAGAAATATACATCAATAGACCAAGATCCAGCTCTGCCCAGTCCAACATGGCAGACGTCTGTTCACGGCCTCTGAGACTGTTGAGTGGGAGCAGTCTTCACCACTCAGCTCTGATAACCAGTTGGCCTGTACTGCCACCAAGTAACTTGGAGCACAATGCCCACAAACCCCATTTAAAAGCTCAGCTTTCTGAAAGATCCAGAGTTCATACTGGCAGCAAGACCCAGAAAGCCGCTGTTTCAAAACCGTGTGGCTTTTTGTTTTTCTGCTACTGCTGAATCAGGAAGACCTCTTTTAAAGGAGCTGTAACATGCTGCCACTCAACAGCAAGAAGCTGTGTTAAACTCTGTGTGTGTGTGTGTGTGTGTGTGTGTGCGTGTGTGTGTGTGTGTGTGTAGAATTCCTTTTTAAGCTCTGTCAGGTTTTAAGTGGATTTAGTTGACCACATTGGCGCACCAATTTGTTGTATAAAGGCCGCTTGCTCGTTCTGGCTGCTCTGGCACCAACTTGTTGTAGAAAGGCCGCTTGTTTATTGCCGTCTGCTCAGTCCCGAAATAACCACACGGTATTCACAGCATACAGAGGGGAATCCCACATCAAAAGAGTTTATTTTTGATAGGAAGAAGGTTCCAGCTATAATCAAGGCAGAGATTCTGAGCTGGACGAGAAGGAGGAGGTCACCAGAGAGCCCAGATTTAGGCCAATCTGGAATGTCAGCCAGGATCCCTGAGGGCATGCACTGCCTGCTCCAACCCAATGGAAGGGTCTGCTCTGCTTAAAGCATGAGTTGCCATAGAGTCCCCAGACAGTGGTCCCTCCAGGGAATGTGAGTTTCTCAGAGAGGACTCAGGTCCACTCTGCACATCTGCTCCCAGATCTTGCCAGCTTGGATCCCTCAGCTGTACCTACTGCTTTTTAGTCATAAATCATGTACCCACCCCGTCTGTCCCCTCAGTATCTGAGCAATAAAATCTGGGCAGAGCCTCTCGGGCAATAGTCGCTCTGTCATTCCCAAATATGGAAACCCCCACCCCTCAGCAAATGCGTGAGAGTAAAACCAAGTCCTGCCATTTAATGTAGTTGATGCTCTGTCTTAAACGTGTGCATGGTGCATCACCGTGTGCATCATGAGGCCAAAGCCTATCTGGAAAGATTAGAGAAGCTGAACCTGAGGTTTCTTGAGGTCTCTTCATCTCTAGACTCTATGAATTTGAGATACGTCTAACTATATGCACTAAAAATTAGTTGTTATAAAAAATACACTTTGCTCACAAAACTATTAATGGGAGTCACTGAGATGGCTCAGTGTTTACCACCAAGCCTGACAACTCAAGTTCAATATCCCAACCCACAGAGGAGAGAAGAGACCCAGAAAGTTGTCCTCTGATCTCTCCATACACACGGCACATACACATGGCATATGCAAGTCTGTGCATGCGTGAACGTGCTCACATATGCACACACACACACACACACACACACACACACACATTCTCTCTCGCTTTCCTCCTCTTCCTATTAATGTGAATAAAGAATTTTGGTTTTGTTTTCTGAGACAGGGTTTCTCTGTATTTCCCTGAATCACCAGGAACTCTCTCCCTGTAGACCAGGCTGGCCTTGAACTCAGAGATCCACCTGTCTCTGCCTCCTGTGAGTGTTGGGATTAAGAGTGTGCACCACCACCACCTGGTTAGAGTAATTAAAAAATTAAAAAAAAATGAAGCAACAAAATTACTAATGACCGAACCAGATACAGGACCACAGTTCTGGGGTTGGGAAGACTTTTATAATTTGATTTTAGGTGAAAACTCTCTTTTCTATTAAGTACTGAATAAAATTGGTAAGATTTGCTACTGAATGTTAATGTTTCCAGACAGAGCAAATAAAGTTAAATAGACATATGTGGGCCACTATTTCTCAAAAGCAAATATGGTAAAAGGAAGAAGGCTGGCCTCAGCCTCCATCAGACTGCATCGCCCAGCTGTGGCTGAGCACCCAGGACAGCCCAAGGCTCTCCCCACTGGCCAGCATCTCTACCTCATTCCTGCCTTTCCCCAGGCTCCTGCAGGCACCTGGCCCATTTTCTGGAGTCTCGTGTGCCACAGCACTGAGTGCCTGCCTGTCCTCCTGACCGCTGGAGTTCATCTCTCCCGGCCACATGTCTTGAGAGCTCTCTCTCTCCTGCCCCAACTGGCCTCTACCTACAACATGAAGTTGGTCCACATGTGTGTCTCTCCCCTGCTGGACCTGCACTTCTGGAATACGGAGCCATTACTAAAGGCCATCAATCCCCCATTAAGTATTGAATACCCAGCTAGGGTAATCAACACAGCTGTATGAAGTTTAAGCAAATTGGGAAAAGGTGGCAATGCCCCCACCTGCGTGCAGACATGAACGGCAATGCTGTGGATTTCTTGGATGCTGTGTGGACATTGTGCGGCCAGTGTTTCTCAGCCTTGGCACCCTGACTTCTGGTCTCAGTAGTTCTTGGCTGTTCTGTGCCTTGTAAGATGTTTGACAGCACGCTTCACCTCTCCCCACTGTATGTCAGTAGCACCTTCTCCTCCCGAGACTCTAGCCATACCTGCAGACCTTGCCAACGTCCCAGAGGGACAGACCTGCCCCCCTGGTGGAGATCTGCTAACACAAGCAGCCCTTGAAGGAGCGGAAGAGGAAGAAACCGAGACTTTGCCTGGTAAAGGTCCCATAATATTTCCCCTTACATCTAATCTCATCACACTTTTAATAAAATGTAAAGTAGCAACTTACACCTTCTGGGAAAACATTTCACCCCAGCAGGCTGCCACAGTGCCTCTTGTCAAATGCTGTAAATTTGGAGGGCGGGATGGGGGCAGCGGTAAAGGGAACAGGTTAAGGTCTCACTCAATTTGAAATAAGAATACCTTGTTTGGGAGGGTAATCTGGAGAACACCAGGAAAACCGCAGGGAAGAAAAATGAGAATGAAGAAGCCGACGGGAAAGATACGCACTTTAAGTCAACTCTGGTGCTGTGTTTTGAGTCATATTTACCATCTCAGAAAAACTTTTCCTGCACTATTTGACTCATTTGAGGAACTTTGCCATGCCCTTCAAACCAAAAGCTTTTGGCTCAGGCAGTTCTTGCTCAGGACCTCTCTGCCGATGAGACTAGAAATGTTGGTGTTTACCTCCAAACCACGGGCCTTTGCTAACTTTTATGAAGGGGAAAAAAATCCTAATTTAAATAGTGTGATAGCACATTTGAGAAACTGGGGAAGTCGTACAAAAGCAGCAGTTTTGGGTTTACTGGGTGTGGAGGAGGGTGGGACCCGAACCACTCATGCAAACACATGGAAGGTGCATTCCTCCGCTGCAGTGAGTCCCAGAAGTGCTATGGCATTCCTGACACAAATGTCTCTGGGATGCAGGGAGGCAGTTCGCAGCAGCATTACCCAGGTCTCCTTGGCCGGGGCCATCCGTCAGCCAGCGAGCATCCCAGGGGCTGACAGAGCACATTTGTTCAGACACAGGAGACGGTGCCTGAAAAACCAACACCCTTGCTTTTCTTTGAAGCTATTGCACTCTGTCATGTCAGGGAGCTGAGCCCAAGTGACGGCCGCGAGGCAATGGGAGATTCACAGCACAGGGCCTGGGGGAGCCATGGGATTGGTGGTTGTTCCCCCGCCCCCTCGGTGAGGCAATAAAAATTGATTTTTGAGGCAGTGACTGAAGCATTATGTATTAATGACTACACAGGGACTATGATTTCACATATCATGTACTGACAGTTGAAACTGAGCTGTTATGTAAAGCATTAGCTCGATGTCGTCCTGAGACTTTCTCCCCACATCGCTCACGAGCTGGAACACAGGGGCCTTCAGATCCGCTGGGAAAGCAGAGTAAGGGCTTGGGATCTGTGTAGAACGCTTTAGACATGGAACGGCTGTCATGGCTGCTGAGGAAACTTCTCTACAGTGCAGCAACCCAACATGGCTGCACTCTCATGGACCGGTAGTGAAGGCATTCAGATTTCGCGAGCTGGCTGGCGACTATCAATAAGAAAATCCAAGATTTTCAGTAACAAGCCGGTTGTTGTTTCCACTCGTGTCTCTCCAACACCGGAAACGGTAGCTTGCTTCAGACCTAGCAGGAGGTGAAGTGGGCCTTTGTGAGTTGATTTCAGGAGACAGGAGCTCTCAGCGCGGGCAAGAATGTCAAGAATGCCAGTCTCCCGCTTTGCTGCACAGGCTGTTGGAAGAAGAACTTCCCAGGTTGCCTTTGTTCTTTTAAATACACATCCACAAAGCGGGCATCGAAGGAGACTTGGAACCTGTCCAGGAGCTCCTTCAGGTGATCACTGACAGTCACCTGAGTCCCTCTCCCCAGCCCTTGTTTTTCCCATGGGTCACAATGCAATGACCTCACAGAAGAGCGGAAGAATGAGTTTGAAGAAGGGTCCTTAGGTTGGAGTTACTGTTTGCACAGGTTCCTAGAGGGTTTGTGGTGCCTGGCATTTTCAGGAAGTACTTGTCTGTGTTTATGTGTGTCCTCTGGAGGAGGGCCTAGGCCTTGCCCTCCACTGTGAATTCAAAGAATGTTGGTACCTTTTACAGGTTAAGAATCACTGCTTGGGAGCCTGTGGAGGCGACGTGTAATCATAAACACCCAGTTAAACTATGACCCCCAAGCCCTTTGGAAGCAAAAGGGACACAGAGGAGCACTTGCTGTGGTGGACGCACAGAAAAATAGAAAATGTGACTTTTGGCTTTCTACAGCACACAGCAGCTATCGGACATGGCGTTAAATGAGAGCAGCGGCTGAAAACGGAAGGACAGCACCTCTGATGGGTTGGAAGACTTGGAAGGCTTGTAAAAGCAGGCACTAGAGACGGACCGCTGGCTGCAGTGAGGTTAGAAGCCGGTGCCGACTGTGGACGGCCTGGTACCGGGAAAGCAGGGAAGGACATTTGTGGAGAAGGCCAGGTGTGGAGAACTTTCCCGATTGGTCTATGAAGCCCTCTCACCAGACACTGAGGATTACAAGGAAGCAGGAGCAGATCTTCAGGCATGGTCCATCCCAAATGTACCTTCACGCGTGCACGGACTGGTCTTGGCCCTTCAGCCTTTGCTCCACCGGTGGGGCCCGAGGGACTCGGCTAGTGAGGCATTGTGGGTAGAAGGAAATGACTTCCTAGGACTCACATGTTCATGCAGGAGGTTCTTCATTCTCCCCGTGAGACTCACTCACAGGCAGCCTCTCCCACTGCCATCACCGAAGTCCTTCAGGTTGACCTCATGGGACCACACCCCAAATCACGCAAAGCCGCGGAGAGCAAGAAACAAAAACTGGAAAAGCAATTGTGTTCACTGTAGGAGAACTTTGCTACCACCCTTATACTTCTTCTGTGATGTGTGTGTGTGTGTGTGTGTGTGTGTGAGAGAGAGAGAGAGAGAGAGAGAGAGAGAGAAAGAGAGAGAGAGAGAGAGAGAGAGAGAGAGAGAGAGCATGGTATGTATGAGTGTGTGAGCGTGTGGGAGTGTTATGTGTGGGAGTGTGTATATGAGTGTGAGTGCATGTGTATATGTGTGTATGAGTGTGTGTGTGTGTGGGAGAGAGAGGGAGAGAGAGAGAGAGAGAGAGAGAGAAAGCTGTAATCCTTGCTTTGCTGTGGAGAAAACTCCCTGAGGTTTTACCTAGACTCTGGCTCCCCTGACTGACAAGGCTACCCTCCCTAGATCAGCAAGATCCTCATTCAAACAAGTGCTGTCTCTTCGGATATAGTTTTCCTAATTTTTTTTGTTTTTTTGATTTTCGAGACAGGGTTTCTCCGTAGTTTTTGGTGCCTGACCTGGAACTGGCTCTTGTAGACCAGGCTGGTCTCGAACTCACAGGGATTCGCCTACCTCTGCCTCCCGAGTGCTGGGATTAAAGGCGTGCGCCACCACCGCCCGGCTAGTTTTCCTAATTTGTGGTTCCTAGATTTTATACAGCCACATAAAATCATGTTTATGTATATAAACTCAAAAATAGAATCTAGCTGTCCAGGGAAACAAGGAAGACTAAGGGGAGGCAGGAGGGCTGAGCAGAGGGAAGGATGGCATGGGGGAGAATAAACTCATGTAGTCTATGTATAAAAATATGCCCACATACAACAGTTTTTGTTAATAAGTTAGACTTTTCTAGTAGAAATAATGTCACATAACTTCTGAAGGTAACATATCAAAGGCTACGGAGGCTTTTTGTTTCTTTGGTGATTATATTGAAGCTCTCAGTATAAGGGGCTGGTGTGTGGAGAGGAAAGGGCAGGTGCCCTGGCTGAGTGTCCTAGGTAGGTATGTGCCTTAGGTCAAGTAACTATCTTAGAAATGGATGCTTTTCAGCTCCTTGTCATATGAGACCTCCTCAGCTGGGCTCCAGACAGCAAAGGTCAGGGCTGACCTGTTCTCACTGTATTCTATCCAATTTCCTGACCCACAACTCTTCTGAATATTATAAAAGGGTTGTTGATGTATGCCACTCAGTCTGCGGTGAGTTTACTAGTTGCTAATAGACACCAAAGAAATCTCACTCCATCTTCATCACATTCCCCCCCCCCCCATTAATCCTTCTACCCCTTCACACCATTCCAAGTTCCAAATCCAAAGGAGTCACTCTGGACTCCCAACGTCTCGCCTTCTGCCCCTAGCAGAGCATTGGTATATCCCGTCCTTAACACAACAAGGAGTTCTTTAAGGGAAGCAATGAATCATTTTCTGCGGCTCACATCTTGGGCTGCTTCTGCCACGATGAATCTAGTCAGTGGTTCCCTTATCCCTGAGATAGTGTACAAGAAAGCTGGAAAGAGACTGGCAAATTTGGTGCGGAAGTTAAGTTCTCATGGAGTTCTGGCAACTTCCATAGTCCTGAGCTACATCACAGTGGACGTGCTGGCTAGTTTTTTTGTCAACTGTCACGAGCCAGAGTCATCTGGGAAATTGGAACCTCAACTGGTAATACACCTGTGGGATATTTTCTTGATTGATGATTGATGTGGGAGGGACCAGCTCACTGGGTGGTGCCATCTCTGGGTAAGTGGTCCAGCTATAAGAAAGCAGGATGAGCAAGCCATAAGGAGCAAGGTAGTGAGCAGTGTTTATCCACGACCTCTGCCTCAGCTCCTGTCTCGAGGTTTGTGCCTGAGTTCCTGTCCTGACTTCCCTTCACAGTGGACTGTTACCTGGAAGTGGAAGACAGAACCTTTCGTCCTCAAATAGCCCTGGGTTACAGTGTTTTTGTCACAGCAATAGAAACTCTTAATGAGTGGGTCGTACCTGTCAAATACGACAAAAGTT